AATAAATAGAAAGTATAATAAGTATAAGTATAAGAAAAATAACAATTAAATATACAATACCTTTTAAGACCAATGTAATTAGTATAATATAATAATATAATATGATAAGTATATATTATTGTTATACAAATATATTTTAGAGTTATCGGATAGTAGAAATAAAATGTGATATATAATAAATTATCTATCAACAGTCAATGATAATAATGTATTTTTGATGTTTAGTTTTATTTTTATTTACTGGATTACGAATGATAATGTCGTATCAGTTAACATAAAGACTATAGTTAATAATTTACAGTTTAAAATTTAAACTTTGTTCAGATTAAATAAAAGTCAAAATATCTGTTAATTCGGGAAAGGCTGATGGTCTCTCTGGCGCCTCTCTAAACTTGTCTATGAATTAACTATACAAAAGACAATAAAACTACCATTATGATTTAAACTTTTTTAAGTTTTTTCGTTTAGTTTTATCATGTTGGTATTAATTTTGAACTGTATCAGATCAAAATAGGGCAAATATTATTGTTGATTGCAGTTGTATATCAACCAACATGGGGACAAAGTCACGTAAATCCATTTCTCGCCCGTGCACCACATTTATCTCTTTAGACGCTTTATTATAATGACACGGTATATACGAGGGGTAGCTTGTTATAAGACTACCTCGTATAACTATAATGTCTTTAAACCGGGTAAACCAAAAGCGGTAAAATCGAGTAGAATAATTATTACAGGTCACGTTTGTATCTACGTATGTTCTTATCTAAAATAATGAATTTTTGAATTTTTTTAACATCGTCAGATCGAATCCAGGGGTAGCTTGTTATAAGACTACCAGAAGTGACCATTCCTGGACTAAAAAAAAAAAGCGAGTATATATGTATCTACTATGAGTTAATTGAAATGTATGTAATATTTGGTAAATTACAATTTACAATCAATCTAACACGTTTTATATACGAGTCGTACTATTTACCGTATTGGTAATATTACCGTATAATGGTTACCGTTAGTGGTATTAGATACTCATATATTTAAGTAATCTGTAATGTTTAAATAAAATAAATTTGGTAGGTGAGAGTAATTTATGAACTCAAGCGACCGTATTAAATATTATAGTAATATAAAAATATATAGTAAATTATATATTTTTTGTTTTCATTTATTTTACTATAATTCATTATTATTGTATTTAGTGTTTTTTCTATTTATTTTGATTCCTAAGCAAAAATGGTTTTCAAATTATCTCAAACTTATGGTTTTTAATTTTTCAACGAATGTGCAATCTAGTAATATTATCATGATTTTTCGCAGTGTATTATGAAATTAACGTAAACAGTCACATTTAAAGTTTAATTTTCAATTAAACCTGAAGTGTAAAATGTAAAACGTGACAAATATTGATTCCAAAACATTTTATTTTAAATTGATTATAGATATGAAAAAATAATCTTAAATTGAATCTTTTATATTGACAACGATTATGTTTAATATAGGTACGTTTTTAACGTTGATAGAAATGGTCCATCATCAATGATGTATTTATATGAATTTTATATTTTTATTAATGGCTTAGAAATAACTGGTTTTTTATATGCAACTTAAACAGACCCCATATTTTAAAATTATCTGAATTCATATCGTTTTAACTATTAACTTAGTCTGATATTTTTTTTCGTATGAAAATTTAAAATTATCGATTTTCATATTAAATTCTAAAATAATTATATGTATATTGTACATTTATAATTTATAATACAAGTTGACCCGTGCCCATATCGCTGGGCATCAAATACATTTACTTCTGATGAAATTATTTTGTGTTCTAAACGTTAAGGATTCTTTTATTTATTTTATATATATAGCTGTTTATATATAACCTAACCCAGCAACGGTTTGCTATTGCTATATTTTTCATAGGTATATTTGACCCGGTAAACTTTGTATCATCTACAATTTATCCTTCTTTTATTTATACAGCTGTCCTCGTGAACATCGTTACGCGTAAAAATTGTTGTTCAGGTTAGATTTTTCTGTTTTAATTATTATTTTTAATTTTTTTTTAGTGCATATAGCATGGTAATAGTGTACAAAAATAAAAAAGTAAAAAGTAATAACGTAATAAACATAAAATAAAATAAAAGTAATAACGGATTAATATAAATAAATATATAGATAAAATAAATAAACAAGCTACAATGTAACAATTATAAAATGTTATAAATGTATGGCAAGATTACGCAGCCAATCTAGCGCTTCCTGGTCGCCTTTGTGTAGTCCTAATGTTCATTCACTGAACATTGTTTTCGGGAATTCCTCAATAATGTGCCTAATAGTTTGTATCTTGCCACAGATTCCACCATCCCTCATTTGTGCATCAAATAATTGCCCCTTCCCTGCCCAATTCTTACGCGGTTTAGGGCAATCCATGCTGCCCGGAGGAATTCGAAACCTGGAACTAATTGGGCTGCATCACTTATGAGATCATTATTCAGAACTACTCCATCCTCCCAATGCGTATTACATAAGTTTTCTTCTTTATTTTTACTATTTTTAAACGTCCCTATAGGATTTCTAGATTTCAGCCTCTTGATTGGTTCTTTATACACGTCATCAGATTGGGAGGCTTGGAGAGTTTTGTGTTTTCTCGATCATCTTTAGCGCTGCACTGTCCCCGCAGACTTCTGGTGGGGCTATATGTAATAGCACTGGTAGCTACTGCAACTTAGTTGATTTTAATGATACATACTGATATAATTTTTATTGACCTATTTAGTTGTGCATCGACATTTTTAGTGTTAACATTCCTTACCCATACTGGGGCACAGTATTCTACTTAAACTAATGTCAAAGATGAAATTCGTAGGACATTCGCCCTACATACCCGGCTTGTTCCAGCCTGTTTGCTGATGATATTATTTCGTGTTTTTAACTTATCTTTTACCCCTTCTAGATGTTGTTTAAAATTTGATGTTAAGTCAAGCTTAATATCTAAGTACTTTGGTACATTTTCGGTTGGTATAGCTTTACCATCCACTAACCGGTTTAATTCTCTGTTCGCTTCCATATTGTTTAGGTGGAAAACAATGGAGAAAAACTTACCCAAGTTAAGATTAAGATGCCAGGATTTAGAGGAAGTGTGTACTTTAGCTAGGTCCTCGTTCAGTTTATCATCCAGCTTTTTGAATGTTCCCGCTTGGATTATTAGAACCATGTCGTCTGCGTACATAAATTTCCTTGATGTAGTACCTGCAGTATCGGCTGTGTAGACATTGAATAATATTGGAGTAAAAACAGAGCCTTAGGGGAGACCATTCTGGAGGTCTTTCTATTTACTTACATTTCCTTTTAGGTGTACTCGGAATTTCCTGTCGGTTAACATAGATTCAATGAGTCGGACGGTCGTTTTGAAATTTAAAATATTTGCTAATTTTAGAATTAATCAACGTTTCCAGACACTCTTTCAGACAGAGTGTCGTATGCACAGATCAAATCTAGGAATACTGCACCCGATTTTTTTTCTTTCCTGAAAACCATTTTTGACATGTGTCACCATGGACAATATTTGCTTACAGCAGCTTTTATTATGTCTAAGCCCTGCCTGCTTCTTAGGCAAGGTATCTTCGATTCTCATTTGTATCCTCGTTAAGAGGACAATTTTAAATAGCTTATACGATGACGTCCAATTACGCGATGGGGGTTTTTATACGTTGTATATGGTCAATTTACCGATTCGGATACCACACGTGTGTTCGTTATTTTCGAAATTTATTGCGGCAAGTGAGGTTATCTTCTTTTTATTAATATAGGTTGCTTATCCATGTCTTCTGTGTCAAACGTTGTTCAAAATATGGAAACCATCGATTCGGAATTGACTTGTTTCACCTTCTGGCACATGGATCACTTGAGTGGCTAAGACGACGAAAAGTTAATATATTATGTCGGCTATAGATCTATCTTGTTAAGCCTTCCACGTTAATTTATACTATATCTATGTTGTTATCTGTGCCTCCCTTGCATTTAGTGTTACTTAATATGTAACTCCTATATTTAGCATTACTTTAGTATTATCTCCACTGTTGTAAACAGCCTACCTTCCGAGCCGTAGGTCACATCACTGTTTGCAAATGAGAAAATGTTTCACTCTAGTCAAAAAATCGCCATCTATGAAGTCCTAACACTCCAAGGTCAAATAAACTTAACTATATTCTGGCTCACTTAATAGAAACTGCGTCTAAATATTGGGAAAATAATAGTAATACTCTTTAGATAAAAAAACACGCTCAACTTGAGGGACATTATAATAAACGAAATTCAATGGTTAAATACGGCAAAATACTTAACACTTAACAAGACTAAATCTGAAAACTCACGTAGATGCCATAATTATAAAAGCCAAACGTTCTAGAGAAACACTTTATCTAATCATAAACAGCATTCCATTTAAATTAGCATCAAAATATCCTTATTTAAAATAAATATAAGACCAATTCTATTATATGCGGCAGCTGTATGGGGACCTCGAATAATCAAATCAAACTGAAATAGAATTAAAACCGTTCAAAACAAACATAGGAAAATTACCGGAATACCTCTAGACCCAGATTTTTACATCGATCTATCTAGTTTTAATTCAAAATTAAGTTAATCCCATTCGTAATCCCTAAAATATCTGAAACAGGAAGAGAGAAACAATGTCCTGAAACTCACAAATAGGGCTACTGGCTGTCATTTCATAGCAATAGCATTATTTGATCTTGTTTTTATATTTTTAAACTTTACAAGACTTATTTACATACGTAATACAACTTTCTAATGTCATTAAGTCGATTTTTTTAACATGTACGTTGTACACGTAAGTCTCCATACATCATATTTCTATATTTCTCTCCGTTATTTTATATTGTACCGATAATAAATGGTATGGAGCACCACATTAAACCTCTATCAAAGCCAAGCACTTGGTATTATAATAATGAACAAAAGTGAAAACTTACTGTTGAAGACGATGAGTTGATATTTGGAACCACGGATACATGTGGTGTCACGTAGTTGAGTTGATTTTGATATTTTAATATCTTTTTCTGAGCTGATGAATGAGCTCGAAAAGATGTGACGCTGAGTTTCATGATACCTGCTATTATAATTAACAAAAATAAAAAAAATTAATCTATTGAAAGACACACTGATCAAATAAAATAAACGCTCTTAATACATTTATTTCATATTGTATAGTTTTTAAATAAAAACATGAATTCGCGCAAAGATACATGCTAAGTAGATATATTATAACTGATATACTATACGATTGGTGTAAATACACTATTATTTAATATAACTGTAGATATATTTATAAAAAAAATTGAATAGATAATTCTTAAGTACATTGTTACTATTTTTACATAATTATAACGTTCTAATTTAATTTTACTCTCCAAGAACAAGTACGTGTAAATCTAGACTAATTTTATTTAATTAATCTAATTAGATTTATGTTTGAAAAAACAGAAAAGCCTTTTTAATTTTAGTTTTTTAGCTTATAAAACATTTTTTTTAAAAACTAACTTTACAATTTATTTACTGTAGTTATTATTATTAATATTTTAATTTTATCTTCAATTAATTGTGTAATATTTAACTTTATCTAGAAAAATGTATTTTGTATAAAAACTTAATTAGACTGATTCTAAAATGATTTTAATAACAAAATAATTTATATTAATACTAATATAACTAAAAATAGGTAATCTAATATTTCTAAAATTGTATAAATTTAATATTTTTGACTAGGTATCAATTTAAAGTTATTTTTTCTTATATTGAAAATAAAGGCTACAAAATTTGAGGTTATAAGCCTTGTGTATAGGTTATTTTGTGTATCTTACATTTATTTTTAAGTTTAATAGTACCTACAAGTTTTAACATTTAAACATATTGATTAGAGGATATTTACAACATTAATTTTTGTAAAAAAAATTTAAGATTTTAATTGAGTTATTTTCATTCAGGGCTTCATTTAATCCGTCTGGTATTGAAAGTGTGTTTCAAATGTTTTGATGATTTGGACAGTTTTGGATCATGAGTTGTTTGTAATTATATACAATTTATTAATTTTATAATAAGTAAGTAAAATGTAATAAATAATTCAAAACAGAGTTATGTATATTAATTATAAATAGTTAATTATAAAATGAACTTGCTTTTTTGTACGAATAAGGACAAAAAAAACTGATTAACAACTTTTATTGATCAAAAAATGTCTTTATGTCTTTTACTCATCTTAATGGATTATTTTAGTGTATCAGTTATTTAAATTTAACTACTACCTATAAGCTATTAAATTATTTAGCTTGTTAAATAATATAAACATTTATATATGTACTATTATATCATCTATATACTACATTATTAACTTAATTAAAACAATATTTATTTATTCTTCTTAAAATAAAATACACAACTCTTTTAATGTAACAGACATTTTTATTCAACTATGCCACCTTATTAAAATGTAGTATAAATAAAGTGGACACATTTATCTAGCATACTCCTTAAATATAATTAATTTAAATTAAAGTACATCGCATTTATAAAAAAATAACTCTTATAGTCGTATTGTTTTTATCAATCACACTAATTCGAGTGTCTTGCTATTATTATTATTATTTATAACCCAAAAACAGCATCGGGAGCACTAAATTACTGATCACTAATGATACTATCAGATATAATAGGCACAATATCTTTTCCCCTCAACACAGAAGTTTTTATTTCTCTTCCAAGTCAATTCATGTAGGGTTTTCAGCCGGTTTAGCTATTAAGAAATTACGATCATCTAGGTGGACGAATAATAGGCGACTATCAAATTGCTTATACGTCCTCTCTATGCACTCCGACCACAATAATGATAACCAGTAACCCATTTAATCTTGGACAAGATTCTATTTGAAAAATATACCATCTAACTTATCTGCTGGTGTTTCTAAATGGGTTTTACAGTTGATTGGTTTATCGTAAATCAGTTGAGTCTAACATACAAACACTGAAAGACAAATATATTGCGTGTACATCGTTAGAACCGAAAAGTAATACTATCTATTAATACACGCATAATTTATCGAACAAAGAAAATAAATCATATTTTTTTAGAATTGAATGTTTTCAATAACCTACGTGCATTTCCAAATTTCAGTCTCTAATTTTTCAATGTTTTTTACTCAAAATACAAGTATTTTGTTTATGCAGTTTATTACATGGATATTAAAAGTAAATCTTAATAATTGTTATTTTTAAAATTTCTAACGAAAAAAATAATGCAATATACCATGCTGAATAAAAATTTCAAAACATCTTTACCATAAGAATAAAATATATTAAGTCTCTTACTTTTTTATGTAGGTATGCATTAATTTTATCGGAAAAACCATCACTTAGTACAATATAATGAATATAATATAACCATGAGTATAATTTTGATTAATAATAACTAGGGTTGAGATTTTAATGCTCTGAATAATAGCAAAAAATAATATTATAAAAAAATGCAAAAATAATTTAAAAAACATAAAAATGCAAACAAAAATATATTTATTTAACTTCATAATTATTAAATAGGTACCTACTTTTTAAAATATTTATAATTAATTTAACTTTGTTTAAATTAAATTTATTTCATAACATGCTATTATGATCCTCATTGGATTCTTGTAAATAAAAAAATTTCTTTTTAATATTTTAATTTTGTTCTATTTTTAATAAAATAGGTGCTTCAGCCGATATGCTCGTATTTATTAGTCTTTCAATTTACTATGTTATATGCTAAACGTGCAATATTTAAGCGAACAAACGCTGAAACTCGTAATCAAATAACATAATATTTAAATATGTACAGATAAATTCCTGAAAAATGCTATAAAAACTTTTAAAGAATACCTTAAAAACAGCAACATATGCCCTAAAAATGCATATAAAATTAAATTTGTCATAAAATGCAAAATAAAAATTACAATAAATTAATCAGTATCACTTGAAATACATTTTCTGCTTATGGATTTACGTATAGAAACATCAGAAAAAAGATGCATTTCCATCAGAATCCCAGCCCTAATAATATCTAAAAGCAAAATTTTAAGGAAATATTTTTTTATTTAAGGATAAATAAGAAAAAAATATAATTTCAAATTAATATTTGCTGAAATCTTAATTTCAGTTTGTTTTATTAGTTTATGTAATATTATTTTGCATTTTGATTACACTATGAAAACTGAATTGGTTTGACAACATTATTATTAAATACTTCAACATTTGATTTTACTATACTTATTTCAATTAAATTAATATAGACTATTAAATAAATCTGATAATGAAATAGCTCAGAACTATCTCTTTATAGTTTGACTTATTAAAAAATATTTTTTCGAAGTATTTTGTATTTTTTTAAATAGTATTATATGCTATAAAATTTGAAATCAAAATTACTAAAACAGTATACCATTTGTTGGAATAATAAAAACTGTTACAAAAAAATATATCGATCGAGACTTAACTTTTGTATTGCTTCCATCGAAAATTCAGTATGTTTAACGTGATCTATAAAATAAATCCACAGTCATAATTCGTTATTGTTATTTTTCTGAAGATGAAAACTTACCAGGTAAAATAAATATTTTTATTAAAAAGACCCACTTTAATTTTTTATTTAAATAAATTTTACAAAAATTCAACAATAAGAAATTAAATGATCTATTGTCTTATGTTCAACTATTTTTAATATTCTAAAAATAAATATAATATTTTTAATTTAATATTCAACATATATATTCTATAGTAAATAAATTCTAAAGTCCTAACTATATGTATCATAATATCCTCTTAGTTTTGAAACGACTTAAAGTTGGTTGTAAAAATAATAACTAATAGGTGAACAATATGAACCCAGTATTTTACATTTTAGATTAAAATGAATAATTTGTCACTTATATATTTATTAAAAATATCAAACACTAAAGCTATTTCATTTATTTAAAAAATAATTCACCGACAATGTCAACTCTTAATACCGACTTAAATTTTTGCTTACTTATGAGTTATGATACGTATTATAACAATAGTTCTATTAAATTATACTTTAATTTTTTTTTTTTTTTGTATCAAATATTATTTAATTTATTTTGATTATTTTTATTAAAACTAATCTATTGAACTTTCAACGTATGATAATAATATGCTTTGCAGTTAACGTGACTTTAATTTTCATTGTTTTGCAGTCAATTTTGTACACGCATTATTGAATTACTTGCAAACTCACTTGCACAGTGACCGACATTTGATGTTACGCTATACGTCCTACATTCAATTATGCGGGCATTAAATTAGATTTTGTATTATAGAAATCGAAATTGTTTGTTATTGATGCTTATTTTAACCTAATTCTAAAATGCCTTGTTTACAATAACATACAAATTATTCAAAATACGTACATCCACTTTTATTATTTAAATAACTTAATTAATTTCAATGTTGTAATCCACAGAGTAAAAAAAAAAACTACTCGAGGAAAAATATAAATTTTTACTGAATATTTAATAATATATTTGGATAGAAGTTATACTCAAATCTAATTTAACTAAAACAAAACATTATAGGTGCAATATCATATAAAATTTCATTAGTACGAATAATTTTAAAAGTATTTACTCGCATAGATTTGACACGGAAAATTCAGGAACACCGTTTACTAAAATTGATGTTATCAAAATCAAATAAATATTTTCATTACATTTATAAAATATTTAATAAAAATTATTTTTTATATTTATTATCAAATATGTTAGTATTATTGAATTACATAACAGGTATTTAAAATGCTAATTAAACAATTTTTCATGTAAAATAAACAATATATTTATACATACTTTTCAAATAAATAGTTAAGTTTTTAAAAATACAAATTTTATCGAATTTAAAATACTTAACAAGAATAATTGGATACAGTTCAAATATCCTGAAACATTTTAGCAAAATATATATATATATATATATATATATATATATATATATATATACGAGTATGTATATATAGTAACGTTTATGTCAAGACCGCAGCGATCATTACAAATAATGTGAGCATTAAGAAAG